AGAGATAGTAGGAACTGCCGATGCTGTAGAATCTGAGATAACAAGGTGTAGAGCTGGATGAACACAGAAGGCTAAGCAGCATCAGAGAAGCAGGAAAATTGACGTTTCGGAAACGTCAGCTTTCCTGCTCTTGTGATGCTGCTTGGCCTGCTGTGTTCATCCAGCTCTACACCTTGTTATCTCTGACTCTGATGAACTGTGTTATGATTTTCTAAATATTCTGTTAATATTTCCTTAATAATGGATTCTAACAATTTCCCAATTATACATGTTAAACTAACTGTTCTGTAGTTTCCTATGTTTTGCCTCCTTTCCTTTTTGAATAAGGGCATTATATTGTCAATTTTCAAACCCACTGGAACCTTTGCTACATTAAGGTTATAACCAATGGACAATTATCTCTGTTGCCATTTCCTTTAAGACTCTAGGATGCAGACTATCAGGCATTGCGCTCCTTTAATCCTAATAGTTTGCTCAGTACTTTTTTTCTAGTGATGATAATCCTTTCTATAGCCTCTGTATTACCTATTTCAGTTGGGATGGTACTAGTGTTCTCCAATGTGAAAGCTGAAGCGAATATTGATTTAGTGATCCCATTATTTCTGTACTCGGATCCCTAGTTTCATCCTCCAAGGGATCAACATTCATCTTAACTACTGTCATTCCTTTTACATACTTATAGAAGCTTTTGCTATAGATTTTTATATTTTTCAATAGTTTTATTTCATAACTTACCATTGCTCATTTTATTACACTTTTAGTAAAAGTTTCCCAATCTTCAATTTTGCCGCTCACTTTTGCAAAATAGTATGCCTTAACTTTTATCTCTGTAATATTTTTAATTTCCTTGTTTGGCCATAGATGTTTTTCTTTCTCCTCTTACAATCTCTTTTCCTTTTTGGAATGTATTTTAGTTTGGAGCAGTTCAGTATCTCCTTAAACATCTGCCAATACTTATCAATTGTCCAAGTTGCAGTCTTCTGACCCAGTCCACTGGGGCCAAATCTGCCTTCATGCCTATGTAATTATTTCTGTTTAACTCCAGAATGCTAGTGTACGACTCCAGTTGCTTGCCGTCCAACTGGATTTGAAATTCTGGAATCCTCTGATCACTCTTCCCTTTACTATGAGGTCATTAATCAGTGTGATCTTGTGACAATACTAAATCCAGAACTTCCTGCTGCCTGGTTGATTCCACATATATTGCTTCCAGAAACAATCTCTAATGCAGTCAGTGAACTGTCCCTCAAGACTGCCCTTGCCAATTTGATTAATTCAGTTTATATGCCTATTAAAATCACCCATGATTATTGCTGTACCGTTCTTCCAGACCCGAGTATTTCCTGGTTTATGCTGTATCCCATCGCAGGACTACTGTTTCAGGACCAGTAGATCACTTCCACAAAGGACTTCTTTCCCTTGCTATTTATTTCTATCCAGACTGTTTCTATATCTTGATCTCCAGTGCTGATATCTTTTTCTTCACTAAAGCACTGATCGCCTCCTTTACTAACAAACCTTTAAATGCAGAGAGTATGATTGAGAAGCTCAGGGATGGCACAAAAATTACTAGGGTGGTAGGGAGTGAGGAGGATAGTTGTGAACTGCAGAAGGATATGAATGGAATAGTCAGCTTGGCAGAGCAGTAGCAGGTGGAATTCAATCCAGAAAAGTGTGAGGTATTGCACTTGGAGAGGGCTAAAAGACTGCACGGCTAATAGGGGGACGCTGGAAAGTACTGATGGTCAGAAGGACCTTGGTATGCATTTTCACAAATCCTTGAAGGTGACAGACCAGGTTGATAGGTGGGTAAGGAGACATGTGGGATATTTCCCTTATTAGCCACAACATAGAATACAAGAGCAAAGTGGTTATGCTAGAACCACATATGCACTAATTCAGTCACAACTGGAGTACTGCATGCAGTTCTGGTCACTACATTTATAGGAAGGATGTGGTTATACTAGAGAGGGTGCAAAGGAGATTTACTGGGATTTTGCCTGGATTGGAGGGTTTGAACTATGAGGAAAGATTAGATAGAACTGTTTTCCTTGGTGCAGCAATGGTTGAGAAGGAGAGTGATAGAAATGTATAATATTGTGAGTGACATAGATGGTATGGATAGGGAGGCAATTTTTTTTTCCATTAGTAGAGGGGTTAATAATCAGGGGGTATGGATTTAAGGTAAGAGGGAGGAGACTAAGACGTGAGTACAGAAGAATTTTTTTACACTCTGAGAGAAGTGGGAATCTGCAACTCATTGCTTCAAAGGTTGGTTGAGTCTGAAATTGTTGTAACATTTAAGAAATTCACTTTAGATATTCACTTGTTTTATCATAGCTTCCAGGGCTATGGGCCAAAAGCTGGAAAATGAGATTAATACAGTTAGGTTTTTGTTGACTGGCATGGACACAATGGCTGAATGGCCTCCTTCTGTGCCAAAAAGTCTGAGTCTATACTGAAAACAACACTAAATGTCTTAGTCTGTCACAAATACAAAGGCACAATCTTACACATGGCTGAAAATTTAGTAAATCCAACCACAGGAGATGCTAAAAACGATATCATCCTACACCCAGACTCAGTTCACTTTTCTGCTGTGATTTTGTACACTAAGATTATTAAAACTCAACTTGATCATCACATCAGCTCATTGTTATACTCTGGCTGTGAAAGGAAATGAATTCCCTCTCGCCATCACCAGAGTTGGAAAGATATGGAGAATTGAGCATAATCCCTCTTCGGCCCAAATAAATGGCTGCCAAACAATTGACAAGATGTTTTTACCAAACAATGTTTTGATATTTCTTCACTTACTTCTTTTAGAAAGCTTATCGATTTCCAACTCTCTTGATTGAACTTGTAACCTTGCACAAGTACGGCGTAGATGTAGTTTGCATTAAAACAATACGATCTGCGAAATGAGTCTGACACATTTGGAAATAACTGCTGCACCTACATGACAGGTAATAATGTTAGTTTCCTTCTTGTACTGATAATGATGTCCCTTTTGGTTTTGTGTCAGTCACTATCAATTTGCATTGATTTTGACATATGTCCATAAGTAACATGTAATGTGCGATCTAAGTAGTATGTAATAGGCCATATATGCAGGTGGATATGCAATACACCATACCAGTAAGTCACATGTAACATGAATGTATATATATGTAGCAAACCATAAGTATAAGTAATATGTAAAGGGCCATGTCTATAACTTACAGTCACGCCTTTAAGTTTCATAAAATACACCGACTGTAAGCAGCATGCAATGAGTTGTGCCTGTAAGTAGTATGTAATATGTCTGTGAGTGAGTAAGTTTAGGTTTTAAGCTCAAGATGCACTCTGAATGTAACTCCTGACATTCCATTAGCTTGTTTGCTGCACGCTAATTGTACCTCACACAGGCATTAAAAATATTACCATCTATGAATCTCGAGTGAACTAGCTGGCTTACAGCCGCCCCACCGTCCCCAGTTTGCTGCAGTGAACAAAGTATGACAGAAATTCCACTGATTACCTGATCCCAGTTGTACGAGCAGAATTCCTGAACTGTTGAGTTGAAAGTTTCCATGGGAAAGGAACGGGTTAAATTCAAGGCTTCCATTGAGTAATAGAAACCAGAAAAGGCCTAGATGGGTTTGGATAGAGATGAATAAATGTCACATGCAAAGCTCAAGACCAAACAAGATGGGGAAAGCAAATAAAATATTCCAGTAAAATATTATAGTAACGTACCACAAAGTCTCCATGGATATGTGGTTGAAGTCTTCTTTGTGTCCATTTACCTCCAACATTGATACGTTCAAAACTAAATACTGACAACAACTTCTGCTGACATAGAGCAGAATTTCCAGTTCCTATAAATGTGGCATTGTTGTCAGGCTCATAATCAGATGGTATATCAGCTGCAGTGCATAAACCATCAAATATATACTTCAGTTGGAGAGTCATATTATAGTTTGAGGGAAGGCAAGGATCTTCAATGCTTGATCTTTTTGAGTTCTGAGTTGGTAAAACAGACAGATATGTGCAAAAATGGTTATATAGAATAGATAAATAAGTAGATGGATAAAGTTACTAAAATAGAACTAGCACAAAGAAAGAACATGCATTACCCATGGAAACATATAAGAGTTTTAGACTGTGGATACAGAAAGATGTTTCACCTAGTTTGATAGCCTAGAATTATGGGTCATAGAAGATAAGGTAAGAGATCAACAATTCAGGACTGAAATAAAGAGAAATGTCTTCATTTAGAAAGTTGTTGGAATTCTTTATCTCAAATGGCTGTGGATGCTCAATTATTGAGGATGCTCCAGACAAAGATTAATAAGATTTTGGATACTAGAGGGATTAAGGGTTATGGGTCTTGGAGCAGGAAAGTGGATTTAAATGTAATTGAATGGTGGAACAGTCTTGAGGGCCTTACTGGCCTATTCATATTTCTTAAATTCCATGATCTCAAGATGACCAGAAGTGCTTTACAGTCAGTGAAAAACCTTTGATGTGTAGTCATGGTTCTAATTTGGGAAACGATTCAAACAATTTGTGTTCAGCAGGTTTCCACAAACAGCAACGTGTTCATTTGTTTTAGTAATGCGCTTTGCAGGATAACATTGGCCAGAACATTGGGAAGAACTCCTCTGCTCCTTTTTAAACAGAACCGTGGGACTACTTTATGGTTACTTGAGAAGAGCATGAGTTTAACTCTCATCCAAAAGACAGCAAATCTGACAGTGCAGCTTTCTGTTGGTTCTGCCCAGGAGTTGCTAGATTGGGAGCTGAACCCGCAATGTGTAGAGGCAATTGTGCTGAGCCACAGTCCACTCTATGTAATTCTCTGTTTGTACTTAATACTTACATTCAGCTATTTCATGATCACATTTCACCCAGAATTCAGTCTATATGAAACTGTACCCATTGCTTTAGGTTTCACTCAATGGGGAATATTTAGGAAATTTATAAATATGCTATCCATAATTGTCCACCCCATCATACAATTTGTCGCTCTGGTGACAGTACTGAAATAATTTCCCTATCCACACTCATCAAAAACAGAGTTTATGTTTCAGGTTTCCTCATAACTGATGAAAGGGCATAGATCTGAAACATTACCTCTGTTAGTCTCACCAAAAGTGCTCCCTGACCATTTCTGTTTTTATTTAAGCTTTCCAACATCTGCAGTATTTTACTTTCGTGGCAACATTATTCAAAATGAATTGAGTTGAGAATAAGGTTCAAGAACAGCTTCTTCTGGGCTTTATTAGACTGCTGAATGGAGCTCTCAAATTTCAGGTCTAATGTTGATCTTGCTTTTGTGCAGCCATAACTTTGTATGCCTCACTCTGTTTAATCCCCTATGATCTGCATGTCCTGGTATGTTACGATCTGCCTGTACTGCCCACAAAATAAAACTTTTCATTGTACTTAGGTACATGTAACAACAATAAATCAAACCAAATCAAATTAATTAATGATGCCATTCCCCCAGTGACTAACCTTTACAATAACAAGATATGTTATCCCTCAATGAACACCTAAAATCAGATTATCCTGTCACAGATCATATTGCTATTTGTGGGATCTTGCTGTGCAGATGTTGGCTGCCTCATTTCCTATGTTAGAATACTGAATACACTTTTTATTGTGTGTCTACATACAGTACATGGACTGTGGCAGTTCAAGAAGGCAGCTCGCCACCTTCTCAAGAGCAACCAGGGATGCCCAGATCCCACGAGTGAATAAAAAAAAAATTCATTGATTGCAAAGAACATTTGGATGTTCTGAGGCCATAGAGGTGCTATAGAATTCCCTCCTTTCTTCACCCATAGACTCCTAGCACAAAAAACCAATTTCACGCTGCCCAGCTTACCTGGAGGATTTTTGCCCTGTACATTTTCTCTGCTTCATCCCTTCCATAGCATGCCAGGCTTTGAGTGTAGACAGTATAGTTATAACTGTACAATGTGATTATTACGGTTTCACTCATGCGTGAGTGCTGCTTGGGGACAAAAGCTATTTCTGTAGAAGCTCCACCCAGATCGAGAGTGCCTGTGGTCTTCACGGTAAAGTTTCGTTCCAGGTGTATCCAAGTACGTCTCTGGCAAAGAATGTATGTTAAACAATAAAATGCTGATCTGAACATTGACAAACATGAAAATATTGCAGCAGAACGACAATGGCTTACATCTATATAACACTTGCCAGGAGGTAAAATGCCCCATGGGGCTTTATAGGGGCGTTATCAAACAAAAGTTAACACTGAGCCACTTAAGCAGATATTTGGGTAAATAATAATAAGATTGATTCAAGAGGTAGGACTTAAGGTGCATCTTAAAGATGGAAGAGAGAGTCACACAAATTTTAGGGGAGGAGAGGGGGTTGTTCCAGAGGTTTGGACCTGGACTACTGAAGGCGCAGCCACAATTGTTGAAGAGATAGAAATCATGGATGCTCAAGAGGCCAGAATTGGAGATAACACAGAGATATTGGAGGAATGGAAGAGTTTGCAGAGATAGAAAAGGGCAACGCTGTGGAAAAATTTGAAAACATGGATGAGAATTTTAATATCAGATATTTGTTTAACCAGGAACCAATATAGGTCAGTTAGCACATGGACTAATGGGTTAAAAATGTTTGGTACATGTTAGAGTATTGGCAATAGAGGTTTGGAGAGCTTTAAGTTTATGGAGGAGTTAGAACACTTAGGTCCCACCTACAGCTCAGCTACTAGATCATTTACTTGCCCAGCAGTTTAGGCAGACTATACTCAGTGTACTCTAAATACATGTCAACCAGATATTGCAGGTTTATGCTGTATCAGTAGTTGTTGGGGTGCTGAAACTGGCTTTTGAACAAACCAATGGCCATCTCAAGCCAATCTGTGTCCTCATTCTATGATCACTCACCAATTTGTGTGGTTGTCAGTGAGTCCAGTTACAGGCTCACCTGTAGCTTGTTCTCATCAATCTGTGGTATGTGTATCTCTTGGTCAAAAGGCTGAAGGTTCAAGTCCCATTTGGGTGTACACATTCCAGACTGACTCTCCCTGTGTAGGGTAGCATGGTGGCTCAGTGGTTAGCACTTCTGCCTCATAGCGCCAGAGACCCGGGTTTGATTCTAACCCTCAGGTGGCTATCTGTGTGGAGTTTGCACATTCTCCTTGTGTCTGTGTGGGTTTCCTCCAGGTGCTCTGGTATCCTCCCACAGTCCAAAGATGTGCAGGTTAGGGTGGATTGGCCATGCTAAATTGCCCCTAGTGTCCAGGGACAAACAGGCTGGGTGTATTAGTCATGGGAAATGCAGGGTTACAGGGATGACGTGGGCCTGGGTGGGACGCCCTTCAGAGTGTCAGTGTGGACTTGCTTGCCAAACGGTCTGCTTCCACACTGTATTCTATGCTACTGAGAGATGGGTACAATGCTCTAGGTGTTACCTTTAATGGTCAGATGTTAAACAGAGGTCCTGCTTGGTCCCTCAGATACATATTAAAAAAAATCCCATGGTACCATTTTGATGAAGAGCAAGGCAGTTGTCCTTTGTTTCCAAGCCAATATTTATTCCTCAACCAACATCGTTAAAACAGCTTATCTGGTTATTAACTTATTGTTTCTTGTGAGACTTTGCTGCGATCAGATTGATGGATATGCTTCTTACTTTACAGTAGTGATTACATTCTCAGAAGAGCTTCATTGTCTGTGAAAGGATCTGGGAGATGTGGAGGTGGTGAAAGGCACTATAGAAATGCAAGCTCTTTTCCAATGGAATGCCTTGCCTTACACCATTTGGAATGAGTACTGAAGGGGGGCAGTAATGGGTAACTGTGCTTCAATCTGCTGGTGGCTGTCACAATCTACAGGACAGGAAGGACAGCAAACTTGGCTGAAATGATCCACCCAAAGCATGCTGGGCTTCGAAAATGTAACTTTGACAAACCTGCAGCAAATTGTCTAATAAATAATTTGCTGTGATCCATCCGTAGACACCTTCCTCCTTCCCTGAGAGAATGTGGGCACCTTTGAAATCAAATGGTGAAGAGCGGAGGTAATTTTCAATTGCTGAGAGGATCATGGCTGCAGCTCTGGAGTCCTCTAGCCTAGTTCCAAGAGATGGAGGAATTAGAGACAGAATTAGAGAAACACACACTTCTTCTTTTTCAGGTACAGAATATTATTATTACCTCAGCTATTTAATTAACTCATTGAGTGCAAAGAAAAGCCATTTGACTTATTGTGCCCATTCAGGCTCCATAGATGAGTTGTCCAATTAGTCTTTCCTTCATTTGTTCTTTCCTCACAGCCCTTCAAGTTTCTGTTTTACAAGTAGTTATCCAATTCCCCTTTTAAAAGCTATCATTGTATCTGCTTTTTTCCAGACAGAGTGTTCCAGATAAGGAGATTGCAGGGATAGGAATGGCACAGTGGCTCAGTGGTTAGCACTGCTACCTCACAGTGCTAGGGCCCCAGGATTGGTTCCGGCTTTGGATTAGGCATGGGAAATGCAGGTGTGGGTCTGAGTGGGATGCTCTCTTTGGAGGGTCGGTGGAGACTTGATGGGCTGAATGGCCTGCTTCCACTCTATAAGGATTCTATGATTCTACAAAAAGGATGAAACCACAGAAGGATTTGAAAACCAGGAGGAAAATTTTAAGCTGATCCAACTCTTTCAGAATGAAGAGGAAGCCAAGTTCCCAGCCTCTCATTTGTGGTAAAGTTCCAGAGTTGGACCAAGAACATCTCTGAGAATATTATTGTACAGACTGACAGCAAGAAGAAAGCCATTCAGCCCAATGTGTCTGTGGCTCATCTTTGAAAAAGTATCCAACACTACTTCTCACCTATTCTCCTGCAATTTTCGTCTATTTCTTTGGTTTACAACAGCCAGAAATTCCAGGAGGCTTTTGTGTTTTGAAACATCTAGTGTGGATCAAATCGAATTAGGGTACTTTAGTTACAGTGTAAAACAAAGCCGCTTGGCCTGTTGCCTCTGTGCTGGTAAAAACTGAAAGAACTGCGGTTGCTGTAAATCAGGAACAAAAACAGAATTTACTGGAAATGCTCAGCAGGTCTGGCAGCGTCTGTGAAGAAAAAAAATCAGAGTTAACGTTTCGGGTCCAGTGAGCCTTCCTTAGAACGTCTGTGCTGATTCTCTGCAAGAGCAGCTCGATAAGTGTCACACCTCTGACTTTTCCTCACAGCCCTGCAAATCATTTCTCTTTCAACAGTATGTTTGTTTTGATTACTATAGGCCACTGGACCTCTGGAATATGACATTGTTTAAATAAATTAATAAGTAACCTTATAATCTTACTGGAGTAATCTCATTCCAGCAGTAGCACCGAAGTAGACAGGTGTAGAATTATGCCTTTCTGCTGGGATTTTTTCCATTGTTCTGTTGAGGCACCATTCCATCGAGTGAGCTGCCTGTGCAGGTTCCTTGACGTAGCTAGAAATATCAGGTCCTGTGGAGAATTGCATAAATTAGATCATTTAAAAATGATCAGGGCAGAAATTACCTTTGCACAGTCAATGAAGAACTTTCACAACATAGTCACAGTCCTACTGTAGGAAATGCAGTTGCCAATTTATGGGCAGCAAAATGCCACAGACAGCAATAGGATAATAAGCTGATAATCTGCCTTTTTTCTCAGTTAAAGAAAAAAACCTGAAAATGCTGGCAATACACAGCATATCAGGCAGCATCTGTGGAGACAGAAACAAAGTCAATGTTTCAGGTCTGTGACCTTTCATCAGACCTCGAATGAGTTGAGAGATTAAAGAGTTTTTAAATAAGCACAAAGCAAAATGGGAGGAAAGGCAGGAGAGGTGACAAAAAGGTTGATAATGCAAGGGAACTAGTAATGTTGATTGAAGGATAAATATTGGCCAGGGCACTGGGAGAAATCCCATGTTCATCTCCAAAATAGTACCAAAATGGGACTTGAGCCTGGCCAACAGGCCCTAGGCCCTTGGCATAGCACTTAACAAGAAGGATTGTAAAATTGGACATTTTCTTTATTTCTTCATTTTTCTACCTTTATATTCTAAGTTTTGGTTTATATTTCTGTTTTTTCAGATGTCGCCAGAGAGTGATGACACTATACAACACTTTTCACTGCAGTTTGTAACCAATAAAATAAATCAAATCGAATAAATGAAATCAAATCAAAATAGAGGGATCTTTTGTGACTACCTGAGAGGGCAGATGGGGCTGTGACTTAACATCTCAGTGGAACGTTGGCACGTCTGACAACACAATACTCTCTCAGCTGGACTTTGTGGCCAAGTCTTTGATTTCAGAATTGAACCCACAATGGTTTAGAGCTGAGAGAGCGAGCCAAAAGAAGCAGCTGTTTTTCCGCCAATGAGTCTTTACAGCTCCACGTTACATGGGGAGGTGATGGCCTGGCAAAATTCATTGGACTGTTAATCCATAAACACGGGTAACATTCTGGGGACCTACGGCAGACAGTGGAACTTGAATTCACTAAAATTAAGAGTCTCGTGATGATCATGAATCCATTGTGGATTGTCAGAAAAAACCCATCTGGTTCACTAATGTCCTTTAGGGAAAGAAACTGCCATCCTTACCTGGTCTGGCCTACATGTGACTCCAGACCAACAGCAATTGCCCTCTGGCAATTAGAGATGGACAATAAATGTTGGCCTGGAAAGTGATACCCTCATTCCATGAATAAGTTAAAAAAGACTCTCAGTATTGAACAATCTAAAGGTTGATCAGTAGCCTTTTAAACAATGCATATTTTTTTTCCTTTTACTACATTATGCTACCACTTTTTCAGAAGAAATAGGGAGGCACAGCATTAACTAAAGGCTACAAGTTCTAAATTGTATGCAGGAACAGATTATTTTTGATCATGTTTATTGTTCCTTGATGTGGTAGGACATATTGAGAGCCGTTATCATAGCAAACAGAATCTGTCTTTATAAATAGAGGGATTGAATTCTTTTATTCATTGGTGGGATGTGGGCCTCACTAGCTTGGCCAGGATTTATTGCCCATCGCAAGCTGCCCTAGTGGAGGTGGTCATGAGCTGCCTTTTTGAACCGCTACTGTCCACATGCTGTAAGTAGACTCATAATGCCCTTAGGGAGGGAATTCCAGGATTTTGACCCAGCGCCATTAAAGGAACAGTGATATATTTCCAAGACAGGATGGCGAGTGGCTTGGAGGAGAACTTGCTGTGGTGTTCCCATGTAGCTGCTGCCTTTGTCCTTGCAGATGGAAGGGGTTGTGGGTTTGGAAGGTGCTGTCTGAGGATGTCTGGTGAAATCCTGCAGTGCATCTTGTAGATAGTGCACACTGCTGCTACTAAGTGTCGGTGGTTTACTGATCAAATGCTTGTGGATGTGGTGCCAGTCAAGTGGACTGCTTTGTCCTGGATGGTGTCTAGCTTCTTGGGTGTTTTTGGGGCTGCGCCTATCCAGGCAGATAGGGAGTATTCTATTACACTCCTGACTTGTACCTTGTAGATAGTGGACAGGTTTTGGGGAGTCAGGAGGTGAGTTACTCACTGCAATATTCCTAGCCCCTTATAGTCACTGTATTTATATGCCAAGTCCAGTTGAATTTCTGGTCAATGATAAGCATGTTGATAGTGGGGGATTCAGTGATGGTAATACCATTGAAAGTCAAAGGGTGGTGGTTAAAAAGTCTCTTATTGGAGATGGTAATTGCCTGACATTTATGTGGCATGAATGCTATTTGCCACTTGTCAGCCCAAGCCTGGATATTGTCCAGGTCTCATTGCCCTTGAACATGGGCTGCTTCAGTATCTGAGGAGTCACAAGTCATACTAAACATTGTGTAATCATCGGCAAACATCCCCACTTCTGAATTTACAAGGGACGGAAGGCCATTGATGAAGCAGCTGAAGATGGTTGGGCCCAGGACACACACTGAGGAACTCCTGCAAAGATGTCCCAGAGCTGAGATGACTGACGTCCAACAACCACAACCATCTTCCGATGCACCAGGTATGACTCCAACCAGTGGAGAGTTTTGAGTGAGAGATGCAGGGAAGATGTGAGGAAGCAACAGAAAACGGGGCTGATTGGGTTGCTCGATGAGCCAAATTAGTTTCCTTCTGTGCTGTAATGACTTTGTGATTCTATAAATGATGTTAGTGAAATGACAACTAGCATCCAAGACACTTCAAATGAATTTCAACTCTATACCTTTGATATGGCAGAGGTAACACTCACTGACTACGCCAGTGTTATTCTCCTTTTCTGCCGACCACCTATAAACATAAAGGGTTGTACGGGAGGCTCCAGCATCGAAGACAATCCCATACTAGAAAAGAAATAGATTGGTCATAGTTAGATACAGTTAGACTACGTAAGATATAGTTATGTTGAGGTTTAACACTGTAAAAGAGAAATCTGGTTGCTCAGTTCCATGGATTTACCAACCAATCTCCAGGTGGTATGAGAAATGGATGCAGCTCTCCAAGTAGGGTTAGCCACACTCCAGACTTTTCTTGGAGTCTCCAGCAATAAAGATTAATTGCTATGGAGTGCAAAAACTCCAGAGGAAAACATCTCAGGGGACTTGAAATATTGTGTGTTTTTTAAAAAAAATCTTTTAACTATGCAGTTCATTAGTTATGAAAACTATTGGAGATTAAAATACAAACTGACATTTGTATTGCATTTTTCACAGCCTCAGAATCTCCCAGAGTGCATTCCTGCCAATTAAATATTTTTGAAGGGCAACCACTGTTGTGATGTAAGAAATGTGGCAGCTGATTTGCTCTCATGAATAGCAACGTGTTTTTGTGATGTTGAAAAAAGGATAAATATTGGCCAGGACACCAGAGGGAGCTCCACTGGTTCCGTTCAAAATATTGGGCTGGGATCTAGATCAGCCAGGATCTTATTAAACAGCGATGCAGACTGGAAGGACTGAGTGGCCCACATTTGTCCCTTCTTCATATGTTTTGTATCTTTTACAGCCTCTTAAGAGGCCAGATAGAGGACCCAGGATTCAACATCTCATCAGAAATTCTGAGAAAAAGGCTGTTGAGTTGAGAGTCAAAAATCATCCAATCACATATAAATGAATCTATTTGCTTCCTGATTAGATGTGGGAAGGTGGGCACTGGCTAGCACAGACATTCATGAGACTATTAGTGGGGACGGACAGGAAGGTCTTACACTGACACCTACAGAAATATTTCAAGCCACACTGGGAAATCTGGCTCCCCATCAATCCCAGAGAGCTGTGCCGACCACTGCAATGTGTGAAGGACCTTATATCCCACAGGAAGAGCAACTCTTTTCAGCTGCTGAAGCAATGAGATTGTCACCACGATGATCACGCTGCTGAATAGCACGATGATAGCGGCTACAACTGGTCTCTCCAGCCCCATCGAGCAACCTCCCTGCAAAAAGACACAGGAACAAGATGAGCAGAGTATCCTTCAACAGGTAACACATTAATTTCAATACAAATAAGATGAGTTGGCACATTTTGGTAGCGAAAACAAGTAAAAGAGACTGTATATTACATGGAAACTAATAGAGGAGCAAGGTGATCTGGAGATACAAATCACTAAAATTAGCGATGTGAGTTAGTAGGGCCATTAATAAGGCAAACCAAAACCCTGAAATTGATTTAAGTCAGTTGAAGTTGTGTTAAATTTGAATAGAACATATGAGGAGTCCAGAGAACAGGTCTGGTTTCCAAGTTATACAAAGGATTTAGAGGTGTTGGAAAAGGTAGAAAACAGTTTTAAGGGCTAATACCAGAATTGAGGACAACAACCAGCAGGAAGTCGGCCGCTGGAAAAGTGAGGTTTCGCCGCGAATATGATTCATCTTCAGAACTGTGGGAAGGTAGCAGTGCAATGGGCTTTATGCTGTTTGTAGAAGGGGCAATGGGAGGAAGAATGAAATGGAAGGGTTGGGAGAGGGTAAAGGGTAGCAGGGATTAAATAACAAAGACGTTGTAAGACAAAAGGTAAAAGGAGTATCAATGGTTGTAAAGAGATACAATATTTGTGCAGAGTGAGTATGAATGGATGACTAACAAACAACGCTGACTGAAAACAAAAAGCATGGACAATGTTATGAAGACCAGCTCATGGCAAACAAGAATCAAATGGGAGATAGGGTTCATGGTCTGTAATTGTTGAGACCAGAAGACTGTAAATTACTTCATTGGAAGTTGAGGTGCAGTTCCTTGAGCTTGTGTTGAGCTTTCCTGAACACTGCAGCAGGTCGAGGTTAGCAATGTTATACAGTCATAGAGATGTGCAGCATGGAAACAGATCCTTCGGTCCAACTCCACTCGCTAAGACCATGTGTCAGCATTTGGCCCATTACCTCTAAACCCTTCCTATTCATATACCCATCCAGATGCCTTTTAAATGTTGTAACTGTACCAGCCTCCACCACTTCCTCCAGCAGCTCATTCCATACACGCTCCACCCTCTGTGTTAAAAAAGTTGCCCTTTAGGTCCCTTTTAAATCTTTCCCCTCTTACCTTAAACCTATGGCTCTAGTTTTGAACTCCCCTACCCTGGGGAAAAGGCCATGGCTATTCATCCTATCCATGCCCACATGACTTTATAAACCTCTATAAGGTCACCCCTCAAGCCTTTGATGCTCCATGAGCATAAGAGCAATTGGGGTGATGAATTAAAATGGCAAGCAACCAGAAACTCAGATCATGCTTGCAGACTGAACAGAGGTGTTCCACAAAGTGGCCAACCTAATCTGCATTTATTCTCCTTAAAGTAGAGGAGTCCACTTTATGAAAAGTGAATACAATAGACCACGTTGAAAATGGGAGGCAAAAAGATGAGAGCAGAAGCATGGGAAATGGATCAGGTATATCTTGAGGTCACCTGTGACACTGATGCAATCATTAATGTACTGGAAGGAAGTTAGAGGAGGGGGCCTGGGTAGGATTGGAACAAGGAATGTCCCACAAATAAAACAGACCTAACTAGGCATAACAGCCGAAAGATTCCTCTGCTCTGACAGATCACTAAGTTGGTGAACAGAGCTCTCTTAGACCTACCCAAACCTGACTCCCTCTGGGATAACTGGCATCACCCGGGAAATCCGCAGTGTGTCCAGGAACATTTACACTTTAACCGTATGTTAAAATTTATTCTGCATCACAACATCCTGAATCCACAGGTGCTGCAGCTTTTGACCAGTTACTGAATCTTTTTATTGATTAGAATGGTGGCCTTACACTCATGCTCACATCCAGGGAATTACAGCAAGACCTTAGCAGAAATCACAAGTCAAATCCCTGTCGGCAGACACTGTGTTTTGACAATGAAAGCAAAATCCTGAAATGATTCCTTAAAGCATCTACTTACCAGTTTAGAAGCCTTTGTCTGCTCCAGTGAAGAACAGGCAGAGGTATTGTTGTTTTTGCATTAACGACTGGAGATGAGTGGAGTGGTCTTGGTTTAAGTGGTTTCAGATAAATGAGTTCTGGATTGCTGGAATTAGAATGTTTCATTTCCAGAACCTGTTCCGACCACTCCCAGACTAAGTGCAGGCTGCCTGCTGTGTAATCAGCTTCTCATGAGCATAGTACCAGATTATTGTAAATCTTGTTAACAATGATTCACATAGAGAATATTCACAAGAATCGTCTCAACTTAGCCATTGAGTGTCCCAGAATTGCTGGGACTTGGAATGGAAGTGGCGGACGGAGGAATGGTGGGAAAGGAACCTGAGAGGAAGGGAAGGTGCACAGTTGGAACGGTGGTAAAGGATAAAGTAAGATAAGGAGGCATTCGGCATAACATTTGGGTGCACAATGTTTCCTGCTTAGATTGTCCCAAATAGGGAACCAAGTATCTTTTCCACCCTCCAACATTCTGTTCCCCTCTGAAACGTTACCTGTCTCCACGTAGAGTCTTATCTGTTTATGTTTAAATTTTCAGTACTTGATCTATAGTGTGTGATTATTGATCTTAGCCGTCTGTGTTAGTATTTTCATTCTAAAAGCTTGCAAGTGTTAACGATTATGTAATGGTTATGGAAGTGTGGAACTCTTGGGTTCAAAGGAAATTTTCAAGATTGAGATTGAATAGAATTTTGTGCTTGCCAAGGTTATGGAGGAATAGTTAGTAAAGGAGATAAATAGAATTAGGACATATATCAGTCAAGTTCACATTGAACAGCAGAACAGGCACGAGAGGCTGATGTGTGGAAGATCTCAGGTTTTAACTAATGCTTCCTGTGGTGGTCCAGGAGGAGCAGAAATGCATTCTTCAGAAACCCAAATTAAAACATTCCCCATTCCCCTTTACATGATTCTTAAAGCTCGCATGGTCAGTGATGCCCTCTCTCCCTGTAATCAGCTCCCACCAGAGTCACCAACTATGCCCAAACCCCCATCTCAGCCACTCATCTCTCTCTAACACATTGACAGCAACCCCTTACCATCCAAACTAAGGTCTTACACTCACCAGAAGGCTCCTGTGATCGCTCCTTCAGCAGCAGGAAGTCTACTGCTTTTGGACTGTAGTCTTTGCTGGAACATTGCTGGTCTAACAGAGAGCTGAACCTATCTCAGGCTAGCTTCCAACTGGAAATAAACATCAAGTTAAAGCTCCATAAGGTTTTCAAGTTTCCTTCCTACCTACTTACAATAATTATCAGGGACCAAGATTGATACAACACAGAAACTATTCAACCCATCGTCCCTATACTGGTTCTGTGAAAGTACTGTCTGATTAGTCTCAACCCCCTGCTCTAACCTCCAAAGTCCGATAATTTTTTTCTTATTTATCCAATTCCTCTTTTGAAAGTTACTATTGAATCTCCTCCCTTCCAGGCAGCACATTCCAGATTATGACAATTCACTGGATATAAAAAAGAATTCTCCTCACCTCCCCTCTGGTTCTTTTCCCAATTACCTTCAATCTGTGTCCTCTGGTTATCGACCCTCCCGTCTGTGGAAACAACTGCTCGTCATTTACTCTATCAAATTGCTTCATAACTTTAAACACCTTTATTAAATCTCTTCTTAACCTTCTTTCCTCTAAAGAAAACGCTCACAGTTTTTCTGCAGTCTCTCTTGATTGGATGGAATCTATTGTCAGACAGTTAGCTGGCTCCTATCCAAATAAACAACTTAATGGGAACCTATCATGTTAATGGAACTGGTTCTTTTTTAACAGCATCAGACAATACAGAGTGTTTTCCTGTTTCCTGGAGCCTATTAGTACTGCAGACACTAATGGACGCTTGAATCCCAAGTGTAGTCACAGAGAAGTGGTTTTGGTCATTCTATGTGAACTCCGTGACATCTTACTGTCAGTTATAATGTAACATCTGCTTTCATTTGGAACAGCCATTAAAATTTAGCTGCAGTCAAAACCCTATCTGAATAATTCTTTTCAAGCTGTGCGGTGCAAGAGATTGCTTTTTTGGTACCTCCATCACCCCAAACTCTACATGTGTTCTACTACCAGGATCATCTCCTTGCCCTCCTCACAGATTAAATCAGTCAATATGCCCCCTTCTTAAATTTATCCTCTTTACAGATAAGTTGAAATGCTATAAGCATCATGAAAGATGAGATTGGTCTCTTGAAAGGGGAACATTGAGGAGAAATCAGTTTAAGTTTGTGGAAGGGTTTGTTCAGATAGACTTTAAAGAAGATGCACAGAGACTGGAAAAGGGACAACAAATGTGAGATAGTCATGGATAAGTTCACAAGAGAATTCAGGAGCAATGTCTTTGCCCAGGGAGATGTTACAATGTGGAATTTGCTATCACAAAGAGTGGTGGAAAAATAGAAAAAATCGGGAAGAGGTTCAGGGTTAGGTCACCCAGTCTATTCATGGCTAACCTCCTACCTCAAAACCATTTCCTTGCATTAGTCACATATGTCTTTATATATTTAGGAACTAGAAATCTATCTTGAATATTACCAATGACTTAGCCTCCATATCCCTTTGTGGTAAAGAATTCTTAAGATTTCCCATCCTCTGAGTGAAGTAATTCCTCCTCATCTCATCCTAAATTATTCTTATTTTGAGACTTATCCTGTGTACCCTGGTTCCTGTCAAATCCTGTAAGAATATTGCACTCTTCAATAAGATCATCTCATATTCTTATCAACTCTGGAGAATGTAGGCCCAGTTTCCTCAATCTCCCCTCATTGGACATTTCTACTATTCCAGGTATCAGCATAGCGAACATTTGTTACACTTCCTCTATGGCAAGTATATCCTTCCTTAGGTGAGGGAACATAAAGTATATACAAGACTCCAGATGCAGTCTAACCAAGGCTCTGTATATTTGCAGTAAGACTTCTTTGTTCCTGTACTCAAATCCTTTTGCACTAAAGACCAACATTACCATTTGCCTTCCTAATTGCTTGCAGCAACTACATGTTAGCTCTCAGTGACTTATGAACAGAGATGTCCAGTTCTCTTTTGACATCAACAGTCCCCAACTACTTACCATATAAGAAACAGTCTGCATTTCTGTTTGCCTATCTAAGTGAATGACTTTACATTTTTCCACATTATATTCCTCCTGCCATGTTCTTCCTCTCTCACCTCGTCCTTTGTAGCCTCATTGTATCTTCCTCATAAATTAGATTCCTACTAACTTTGAGTCATTAACAAGCTAGGAAATATAGTGTACGAATCAATGATATCGATTGTGAGCAGCTTGAGTTCAAGCATTGATCCTTGAGGTATCCCACTAGACTCAACCTGCCAACACAAGAATGACCCTTCATTCCTGCTTTCTGTACTCTGTCCAATAACCAATCCATGCCAATATATTACTATGTGTTTTGTTTACTTTTGTGAGATCTTATGGAAAGCCTTCTGAAAATCCAAATCCACTGATCCTCCCTTTCTATTCTGCAAGATACATCCTCAAAAAAATGTAACAGATTTGTCAAACATGATTTCCCTTTCATAAGTCCATGTTGACTCTTTTATTCGTTCATAGGATGCAAGTGTTGCTGTCTAGGCCAGCATTTATTGCCCATTCCATAGGGCAGTTAAGAGTCAATCATATTACCATGGGTTTAGGGTCACATGTACTCCAGAACAGGTAGCAGTATCCTTCCCTAAAGGACATTATTTGCACCAGATGCGTTCTCCCCAGCAATTGACAATGCATTCATGGTTATCATTAGACTCTTCATTCCAGATTTTTATTGAATTCAAATTTCACCATTTGTCTTCGATGGAATTTTTTTCTATTCATTTGTGGGATGTGGGCGTCACTGGCTGGCCAGCATTTCTTGCCCATCTATAACTGCCCTTGAGAATTTGAACCCAGATCCCCAGAACATAACCTGGGTCTCCAGGTTAACAGTCCAGAGATAATACCACTACGCTATCACCTCCCTCTTGCTCAAACTTATTATTATTTTCAAAGTCTCCAGTTATTATGTTCTTTATGGTAGATTCTAGCCTTTTCTCTACTACTGATAGGTTAAAAGGTTTGAAGGTTCCTTATTTTCTCTCTCCCTCCTTTAATATACAGTGTGGTTCTATTTGCTACGTTCCAAGGTAGAATTCAGAATCTATAGAAGTTTAGATGGTGAGCTCTGGGGCATCAAATGTGTAGAATCTTTTCTTTTGACTAAGACAGGCCTAAAACTGGGAGGTACTTCTCCTCAGGGGCCAGTCAAATTTTCTCATGCAATGATGTTGGCTCTTCTCGGCTCTTGCACATTCGTGTGTGGGTAAAATGACAAATTTATTCGGCAGGCAGGAAGTGCTGTCCCCTGAAGGGGACCTAGTGAGCTCCATCATCTGCCACCATATTTAAAAGGCACTCGGGACAACACTTCACTCAACCTCTACTCATCACTGTCACCGACCCCTGGAGATGTCAGAGACCAGGCGAAAAAGCAGAGCCAGAACTTGGTGACACCTTCCTCGAGGAAGTCCAGGAGAGATGAAAGTGCTCTTCCCAAAGGATGGCAACTGGAGGCCATTCCAGCTGACAAAGGTGGCCTGGATTGAGGTGACTGTGGATGCCAGCGCGCATGGGCATCTCAAAAGAGCCTGGCTCATCAAGGGGATGAATGATCTGCTGCACTCTGCTGGGGTATGTATCTACTCAATGCTTTGTACCCCTATGTGAGAGTGAGTTAGCTTTGTAATGTTGACAGGAATGTCATACACAAGACTGGGTGTCAGGTATTTCCATCAGATGCCTCACATACAATCACTGTCTGTCACTTCATTGCAGCCACCAATAATGGCACCACTGGTACCACAGTCATACCGTCTCTCAGCGTTCACCCTTAAAATATAAAAGGAGCTACAGTACAACACTTATCACTTCATGTACCATCAGATTATTGACCTTTCATCACAACCAGGGGGACCTCCACATCTGATAGCTTTCCACTAAACATTTGCGTGCAGTAAGGACACCATCACAATACATGGCTTTGGGATGAACACCTCACCAAAATCAAAAGCACACACAGCATATAAGGCTTTACTGATTTGCATCAACTCTAGCTCTTTGACAACACTGAACCGCCTTTAAATCAGGAGCTTTTAACTCCTAATGTCCCCCATACCATACTCATCTTACAACTAATGCATAAAGACAATTACAGTGCTGGAGATTGCAATAAATACATCAATTTGTTTCTATCAAAGCAGCCAAAGTGCTCAGGTATCCATGAGTAATGTCTCGTAATACGTGTTTCCATCTGCAGAAGAAGAACGTGCACAACTGGAGCAAATGAGCAGACACGGAGGGAGGCCTGATATAAGGCTCCTGACTCTCTTCAAGGGGCAGGCTGCTGAGTTGGCAAGACAGCAAAGTGAAGGTGCCTGTGCTGAAAGAGACTTGGGGGATATCTACTGCCAGCTAGTGAGAAAGCCTCCAAGCAACAACTACTTATTGCATGTCAAGCAGCAACATCTTAATAAAACCTTGGTTAATGGCAGCAGCTTGCAACATGATCAAATCTTTATTTCTTTTTATGCAGCCTTTGGAACAGACTCCCAAGCTGGGGCCAAAAGAAGAAGATCCCTGGTACCCAGGCCCATCTGGACCCGAACCTTGTAGTACAGCTCTGAGGAGGGATCAGATCCTGTCATTTTCCACTGCCCTCCAGCAGGAACATAACCTGTGGAAAGTGAGAACTTAAGTTGGAAGTTTGGGTTTTGGAAATCAATCAGCATAGTTTAGTCCCTTTACATCTCAGTGTTAGATGAAGGCTCCTTGCAAACAAAGACTTTGAGTCATATAAGCACAGCCTCCATGTAATCCTGTATAACTCTATTCTGATGCTTTGGCTAGAACATTGAGCTTAGTGGTGCAAATGAAACAAATTAACTTATAATTTGTGCCAAACAATCAAAGTAATAAAGCAAGCATTCCCTTGAGGATAGGGATTGCTCTGTGCCATTATTGGCTTGTATTTCTGGGTGTCTACATATGTTAATGTAAAACAATTACCCCTCAAATCTAGCTGCTGTCATGTTCTGTCAGACTTATCTGCCTTGCCTCAATGCTGCCTTGGCTTCTTCAGCATCTTCATTATCAGCATTGCTTCTTTCAGCATCTCCATCATACTCCCCTGCTACCTGGTTTTGTAGAGACAGATGGCTGGTCCATCTCCCCATTTTCTAATTTCTCACTTTATCATTGAGCTAGCTTGTGCAGGGAGCAGTAAATAATCACTATTTTGGAGACCCTGGAGAGCTCCTCTTGAAGTCCAGGCAGCGAAGGGGCATCTTCAGAGATCTACCTTCTTTTCACTGATGGCACTAAATGTAGAATCTGAACATTCAGTTCTCAGCCTTGGTCACGCTGTAGCCTTGTTTCTGCGATGGCAATTAGATCATATCTATTCACTTGTGTTTATTCTGTCATTTTATCTAACTTTCCATTTGAGTCCATTTAGGTACAGAGCCTTTAATTCTATTTATTATTTTCGCAACCTCTAGTCTTATTTGCTGGTGTGTTCTTAAATTCTTATACTCTTCCCCTTCTT